ATCTGCACTTCTCCATTGTTGATTTCCAAGGCCCCTCGGGAGGGCCAGTAGCTCGTCTCGGCCCGCTCGGTTGGACATGTATTGGGTCCGCTGCTAAAGATACCAACCACCATTCAAGATCCCATCTGGCGAGAACACTGCATTCCAAAACGGCAGATCCGGATAACAGATTGACAGAGTGTTGTAACCACTGAGCTATAAATATATGGAGAGCGCAACTATAGATACAGAAATTGAAGCCGGAAGTCGCGCGCGGCCGCCATCTTACTGTGACCACCTTGAGGAGTGAGCTATTGTGATTAATACGGTATTTTCCACTGTTTTGTTCTGTTATCTCGCAATAGAGGAACAAATCAAGTCAAATATGGTATTTTAACCAAAAGCACATGTTCAAGAATGTTGGGGACCTCTTTTACATTCAAATGAACTCAATCGTAAAGAAATGTGTCTATATTTTTGACGACGTTTCTGAGTGCGACTGAGATGAATCATGAATATAGTCGTGACAACACCTTTCAAATGGGAATTTCTGATAGAGATCGGTGAATTATACCATAAGTTAACACATGAGAAATTGGTCATGAACTTTATTGTTTTGGAAATGGTCAATTTTATATGGACAAGACTCATATTTGTGTCTATCGACCTAATCAACGCAAACAAATTATGTCGCTTGTGGGATTTGTTAAAGGAACAAATGATTCAGGATGGTAGAAAGAATAGCAGGTGCGTTGTAGTGATCTTATTTATGTTAATGGTGGGTGCTTAAACGCAATGCCTTGTGAGAATATATACCATACCATCCCTGCTTGTGTAATATGTTCCTTATTAATTAAAGTCATAGTCATGATTAATTATCACTCTTCTGAGAAGACCTCAATGGTGTTTTATTCCAAAGAAGCAGATTAAAATTAATAAATTTGAAAGAAATTGAAAGTTGTAAAATAATGGTATCTCATTTCTGTGCTTTTTAGATCCTATAGAGACAGTATAAAGTGAAGATGGAACAATGCTGCAAACAGTTACTTTCAGTTGCATGTCTATATAATATGCATTATATTGCATTGTGTAAAAACAATTTAATTGTAAAGGGTCTCTAGTATTATAGGATCTGTGTGAAATTCCAGTAGTTTGTTGCTAAATACTCATTTAGTGTCTTTTGCCAAATAAAGTTTAACTGCCTTGTATGAGGTAAAAATGGTTGTAACAAAAATGCAGGTTGAAATCAAGCCTTCAAAAGCATTAAACCCACATTAATATTTGCTGAGGTTATTTTGCTCTATCTAGTGCCAGATGATTTTACTCATTAGTTAATTACTGTAATACTGCAAGTGAACTGTTTAACAGAACTCGTCTATCTGTATACATGGTCATTACTCCACTGTTGTCACTGCTTTGTTTTTAGGAGCCGACCATTTAACTTTTGAGGGGGGGGGGGTTGAGTTTGAAAAAAATTTCCTGCAAGGCTATTCTGAACAAAAAAATACCTGCACTAACAAACTGAGGGAAAAATATCCTGCCCCATTATTTGGTGGGAAAATGTTGCAAAACACCATGGTTGCAGGGATCGATTTGACCAGTCACAGAAGATCAGCTGGTTTGATTTTCAGGGACTAGTGTAAGGTTAATTTCTTGTTGGAAAACTCCTCAAAGTGAGCTTCAAGAAATCCAAAATTTTCTGGGGGGCATGCCCCCAGACCCTTCTAGAGGCTCCCACCTTTGATGGTCGACTCGGTTGTCTCAGAATCCTAGGTATCACTATGGCCTGATCTGCTGCCCTATGGTGCATACTTATTAGTTAAACTATGCATACATATGCTGCAAGTAGCTGCAGCAACACATACTTGCCGACTGGAACTTCTCCAGGTCCCCTGCTAAACATGTCCCTTCCAGTTACACATCCTTACAGGGCCTTTACTGATAATCATTTTCAAAATCATGCAGACCTTTATCATTTAATCCATGACAAACTGCAAAGGATGAAGATATTACCCATACTTTCCTGCAACTTATCCAATATATAGTTCATTAAATATGCCTTCGTCCATTTAGTACTACTAAATTGTAAATTTCAACATACTAAAACGCTGGTTTCTGACCATCAGAATTCTGTCAAATCTTCCCCCAAAGTCCAGGAAATGGCACTTCAGAGACTTTACATTTAAAAATTTTCTCGGACCTTCGGCCCTCGCTTTCGGCCCCCCCCCACCCCCCCAATTGAAAAGAGCTTCCTATGGCCCTGCCTTAAAAGAGGCCCTGAACCAAATGTTATATATCTCATAGCAATATGTATTATTAAAAGCAATGCATGAAGCTAGAAAACTCGACAAAAGATCCATACTCCCCTCACGGAGGAAGTTTCTGCCGTCCGGAGGGGAGAAAAAATTGTTTCTGATAACAGTAAATGTATTAGGACATTCGAAGGGGGTAGGGGGCTTAACTTCCTATTTCCTCTGTGGGGGTGGTATGGATGTTTTCTGGAATGACCCAATAGTATAAGCTATTGAAAAAAAATGCTGCGAAAGAGAGTGGAAAAAAAAATCATACATGGTGATGGGATAGAAAAAAACTTGCACATGATCCCAGAAAAAAACTCCCTGCCAGCAGTAAATCACCCCCTCCCCCCTCAAAAGTTAAATGGTCGGCCCCTCAATTCATTCGTTTCTTAGTAGTTGTCTTTTTACTGTAAAATGACTAAAGTAAAAGTACTGTTACTGTAAATAAAGTAAAAGTTTGTAAGCAGTACTGTAGTGTATTTTAATGCAATTGTAATGTGTAGGTGTGTCAAGGCAGCAGTCAGTCTCATAAAATATACATATTATGCTGTTTATTAATTGATCTGTATTATTGAGGGCAGAACATATATTAACAATGTCACAATTTCTTGAAACCTAAAAGCCTGATTTACTCCATGAAGAAAAGACAAAGCTAAAATGATCTCGGCAGGTTGCAGTATTCAGTCAACAAACAATGTTTTATAACCAATACATTTTTTTATGATTAGGCTGATAGATTTCACACAGATCCTATAATACTAGAGACCCTTTACAATTAAATTGTTTTTACACAATGCAATATAATGCATATTATATAGACATGCAACTGAAAGTAACTGTTTGCAGCATTGTTCCATCTTCACTTTATACTGTCTCTATAGGATCTAAAAAGCACAGAAATGAGATACCATTATTTCACAACTTTCAATTTCTTTCAAATTTATTAATTTTAATCTGCTTCTTTGGAATAAAACACCATTGAGGTTTTCTCAGAAGAGTGATAATTAATCATGACTATGACTTTATTATAAGGAACATATTACACAAGCAGGGATGGTATGGTATATATTCTCACAAGGCATTGCGTTTAAGCACCCACCATTAACATAAATAAGATCACTACAACGCACCTGCTATTCTTTCTACCATCCTGAATCATTTGTGCCTTTAACAAATCCCACAAGCGACATAATTTGTTTGCGTTGATTAGGTCGATAGACACAAATATGAGTCTTGTCCATATAAAATTGACCATTTCCAAAACAATAAAGTTCATGACCAATTTCTCATGTGTTAACTTATGGTATAATTCACCGATCTCTATCAGAAATTCCCATTTGAAAGGTGTTGTCACGACTATATTCATGATTCATCTCAGTCGCACTCAGAAACGTCGTCAAAAATATAGACACATTTCTTTACGATTGAGTTCATTTGAATGTAAAAGAGGTCCCCAACATTCTTGAACATGTGCTTTTGGTTAAAATACCATATTTGACTTGATTTGTTCCTCTATTGCGAGATAACAGAACAAAACAGTGGAAAATACCGTATTAATCACAATAGCTCACTCCTCAAGGTGGTCACAGTAAGATGGCGGCCGCGCGCGACTTCCGGCTTCAATTTCTGTATCTATAGTTGCGCTCTCCATATATTTATAGCTCAGTGGTTGTTATATCGTTGAAAAGTATGCGTTCATTCCTTAGAAACACGCCGTTGCTAGGGGCGTAACGTGAACTTTTGGCGGGCATTGTTGAACTTCTTAACGGCGTGCAAACAAACGTATAACGAGTTAAATATATTGTAAAAATGCCGCTTAAGCCTGCGACGGAACAGTAAGGTATTTTTAGAATGCCTGTAGTCAAATTAAAACTCCCTGGTCGGTTTTGTGACAAAATCTAATTTAATATGACAAAATCTAATTTAATTCGTCAACGCCAAGAATAGACAAACATGTTTACGTCGTTACAACGCGCGCCAAAAGTTCACGTTACGCCCCTAGCAACGGCGTGTTTCCAAGGAATGAACGCATACTTTTCAACGATGCAACAACGCGTTTAAAATGCAAGCTGCAAGCTCAACTGCAATTGGCTGTATCTAGAAAGTTATAAAAAAGTTTCGTGAATCTTACCTGAAAGAATTTAATAGTCTTTCTTTGTAGTGAAATGCTGATCCACAAGCGAAGCAAACCCGCACCCTCGCTCCGCGTTGTAAAACAAGTAATGTTCGAGGGAAATATTAAGATTTTTTAGCTCAAAAACAACAGAAAACTTTTAAATATCTATATCGTATTAAATATTTGCCCAAAAACCAGGGGGGTTAAGGACATCGTCGGAAGCTTAGGATCGCGGTTGGTCAGTGGCAATTACCATGAAAATAAAGTAAGTGTTGTCATGGAAATGGCGTAAGATCCGCCATGTTTTTGGCGACACTTTTTGATCCCGAGCAGGTCCTCCAGTAATATAGTATAGCTCAGTGGGTCATCCTCACTGATCTCAAAAATATGGCGGACTGTCATGAATAACGGACACTGATTGGTCCAATTTAGAGTTTGCATTATAACGACTGCATGACGACAGCGAAATAGCAAACATTTCTTCATTTTCTTGTCATTCTTGATTTGATGAGTTGATGATTGATAAATTTCTTGCAAATATTGTTCATTTTTGCTCGTATTTCTGCAAAATTTTGTAAATTTCAAGAAAGAAAGGGCGAAAGAATCAGCTGAAAGAAGGGAGCCGACGTTAACGAAGGTAAGTTTGTTTTAAATATTGATTTTATAATGGCTTTAAAACCCGACGGCCTTTGCGTATATGAAACAACTAAACAAGACAGCATATAATTTCAGTGTATCTTTAATATTGATTCCCTTTTTATTATATTGAATTTTTTAAATAAAAAATAAAGCAAAGTTATTTGCAAGCGAGAATTTGAAATCATTTTATTGCAAACTCAAAGTTTATCGATAAAGCCATTTAATAGTTAAAGGTAGTTTAGTTTTATAAAGAACACTTTAAAACGTTTTGTAAATTGTTTGTGGTTGAATTTTACCTTAAATTGAAGCTTGTATTACGTATAATTACATACCTAACATAAATATGTTGGGAAATTGATAATTTTGTAATTAAAAGTGATATTTTTAGGCGATTTTCATTTGTAAGAATATTCTTAAAAAATTATCGTGTTACCATGACAACTACTTTAGATACTTCATGTTCGGAAAATACAACGGTTTTGTCAGCAAGGCGAGGGTTTCTGCATGCATGTATTTTCTAGTTACATTTCTTAAAGCTTTTTTTATCACGGCCGCTTTGGCGCGCGTACGTGCGCCCGCTCAGTGCAATCTCCAATAATTTTCCAGTGGCGGAATGCGCGGGAAAAACAAAGCATTACGGAGTGGTGGCCCTAAATTGTTAGCCCTAAAACGGAGAAGACTTCTTATAAAGTTGGTTATTTTAAAATTAAAGCGAGTATTAAGAAGAGAGAAGAACAAAAATAGATTCTGGATGCGAGAAATCTACAAAGAAAGGAAATCTGAGTAATCTCATTGGTTTATTCCAACCACGTGAGTTAACGATCGCACGAGTTCGCCTGGAAAGTTGACAAAATTTCTTTAATACAGACACATGTACTTTGATTATTGTAGCATTGTTTGGGATAGCTTTGGCAAGGGTCTTGGACAAAAGCTACAGCGTTTACAGAATAGGGCTGCAAGAATTATTACTGAATCTGATTACAACATTGAATTGGACCAACCTGGACCAACCTTGAAACCAGTCACACTAAACAGTTTAAAATTTAGTGTACAAAACTGTTAATAATATGGTTCCTAGTTATACTTGTCAAGAAAATTTACTCCAATTTCCATGATACACGAACACAATTTGCGAGGCTTATATCATAAACTTTTTGTTCCAAGACCCTTAACTGAATCTTTAAAGAAAAGCTTTACCTATAGAGGGGCTACCACATACCCGTTGAACTCGCTAGAGCTCAATCTCTCACTGAGTTTAAATCTAACAATTCTTATTAATTGCATTATATTAGTTTCTTTGCATAGCATATGTAGTCCGTAACTCTTGTAAGTATTTTGATATTTATTTATTAGAAATTAATAAATACTAGCATAGGTACACGCCTCCATTGAAGAGCACATATTTTAACTTGTGAAATTAGTCTCGTGCATGTTTTAAATAAAGATGTCAATCAATCAATTTCAACTTCCATCGCAGGTTGGGTGCTGGTCATGCGGAAGTCCTACCGGAAGTAGGCGTAACAAGGCGTAACCGTTTCGAACCAATCAAAATTATAAGAACATGTCACGTGCTGAATTTGAATCGAACATGTGATCCAAAATTCGTTCATTCACTTGAGTGGACTCATTACTTTGAGCATAGCCTATCGAAAGGAAGATGACTGTGAAACTCATCAGAATAACAATATAACTCATTATCTATATGTTCAGTAGTCAACTTTTATTCATAAATACGCGGTCCGTCACGTGTGTATTGTATTTTTGCCGAATCCACCAATAGCAATTTCCAATTTACCATATTTTTCGAGTCACGGATAGGTAACTTTCCTGAAACATTGCTATTGGTTAGTTGGGCAAAAATACAATACGCACGTGACGGCGAAGGACCGGATTTAAGAATAAACGTTGACGAACACAGATAATGAGGGGAGCCCTCCCAGTTTTTTGGGCAGTCGGGCAATATTCGATCAACAGTCGGGCAATTTTGAAAATTCAGTCAATTTTGTGGTCAATTTTTTTTTTGAAAATTTGTGTGATGTCCCGAAAATTTTTTGTATGTCAGGAAAAATTTTTTGACCCCTAAAATGGTACACCGACCGAAAAATTTTTGGCGACGGGGGGAGGGGGGAGGTCGCCGAAATAATATTTCCGGAAACATTTTTTAGGTACTAGTCGGGCAAAATCCCGAAAAGTCGGGCAAATTTCTTTTCACCCCCCTAATTTTTTCCTTCCGGTACGCCCATGATTATGACAAATAATTAACAATTATTGGATGAGGTTTTTGTGATATGCGGAATTATCAAGGTCGAGGTAAGCGTTATCAGCCGAGCCGAAGGCGAGGCTGATAACGCTTACCGAGACCTTGATAATTTTGCATATCGCAAAAACCGAATTCAATAATTGTTTTATTATACATTTGAAAAATAATAAACACAGTATTTTAATATTTTAATTTTTTTGCGATATGCAAAATTATCAAGGTCTCGGTAAGCGTTATATTCAATATGATTTCTGGCAAAGCTGTTCAAGTAAAACGTTTCTATAAAGAAGTCTCCGGAAGTCCAACAGTTAAATTAATTACAAATATAGAAGAAACATATATTATCGTTAAGATGTTGTAACGTATTAAAATATTTACTTGTTAAAGTAAACATTACAATTATGAAATGTACATTCATTTGAAAATTGAAATGTACACTCATTTGAAATGTACACTCATTCAATTTCACGCAACCTACACAAAATTCAGTTATCTGCTAGCAGATAACTGAGTTATCTGCTAGCAGATAACTGAATTTTGTGTAGGTTGCGTGATTGCGCGATTTAACTGTAAGCTCTTAGCCAATCAAATTGCTTTTACCAACTACAATGTATAATAATAATAATAAACTGAGTAGACTCGATGCATGCCCGAACGCCACGCGCGAGGGCAAAAATTACAACAGGCACTTTTGGGCAGCCTATGATGAAACTGAAATATTTTTCTGTTTAGTATAGGTAATA